CCCCCCCCCCCCCAGGGAAACCAGCGCGTGTCTGCCCCAGGACCAACCCCCTCCCCCTCCGGTGCAGGGAAGCCTTGCGTGCGCTTGTCCTGGGGCCAACCCCCCCACACGTGCTGGGAAACCCCCTGCGCGCCTCCTGCGGGGCTGACTCACCCCTCCTTGAGGTAAGTAGTGGGGCTTCTCGGGGGTGGGAGGGAAATGGGGGCGGGGCAGACAGGACGCCTCGCGGGCGACTGGTCGAGGCCTTGCGATCGACCAGTAGCTCGCAATCGATCTGTTGGTGACCACGGCCTTAGAACGTGTGCCAACTACCTATGCTAAACTAACTGTTCAATCTACAACATTTTTAGCTCCTTTCCCAGTCCTGAAGAAAAGCTCTATGTAACTTGAAAGCTTGTCTCTGTAACCAACAAAAGTTGGTTCAATAAAAATTACCTCAGCTACCTTATGTCTCTGCCTCTCTAGCAGAAATCTTAAAACTGGCAAAGTTAAGAAAAATGTTTAACTTTTAACCAGAAGACTAAAAATGTCATTGGCCTGTTACTAGGTCGAGAGAGTAGAATTGTCAATAATAATTAAGGAAAGGGAAAGTGTTCAATAAATATTTATCATCTGTTAATTGCAAAAAAGTTAGAGGATGTAGTTGTTTGATTATCATCACAATAGACCTTGTATTCTAACACTAATTCAGGAGGATGTTAAACTGCAGATACTAAAGATATTTTTAAATCAGTGTGTCCAGATAACTTGCAATCAAGAGTTTTGGGTTTGCTGATCATAGAACCATAGAGCTGGAAAAAGAACTCAGAAGGTCATCAAGTCCAGCCCCCTGCTCTAAACAGGACCAATCCCAACTAAATCAACCTAGCCAGGACTTTGTCAAGCCGAGACTTAAACACTGCTAGGGATAGAGACTCCACTACTTCACTAGGTAACCCATTCCAGTGCATCACCACTCTCCTAGTGAAATAGTTTTTCCTAATATCCAACCTGGACCTCTCCCACCCCAATTTGAGACCACTGCTCCTTGTTCTGCCATCGGTCACTACTGAGAACAGCCTTTTTCCATTCTCTTTGGCACCTCCCTACAGGAAGTTGAAGGCTGCTATCAAATCCCCCCTCACTCTTCTCTACAGTATACTAAACAAACCCAAATCCCTCAGTATCTCCTCATAGGTCCAGCCCACTAATCATTTTGGTTGTCCTCCGCTGGATCCTCTACTATGCGTCCACATCTTTTTTGTAGTGGGGGGGGGGTCCAGAATTGGTGACATCACCCTGTAGCTGTGTCCTTGTCCTTGTAGCTCTGCACTTGTCCTTGTTGAACCTCATCAGATTTCTTGTGGCCCAATCCTCCAACTTGTTTAAGTCACTCTGGACCCTATCTCTGCCCTCAAGCATATCTACCTCTCCCCCTATCTTAATGTCATCTGCAAACTTGCTGAGAGTGCAATCCATCCCCTCATCCAGGTCATTAATAAAGATATTGAACAAAACCGGTCCTGGAACTGAACCTTGGGGTACTCCGCTAAAAACCGACCACCATCCTGACATCGAGCCATTGATCACTACCCGCTGGGCCTAGCCTTCTAGACAGCTTTCTATCCATCTTACTATCCATTTATCCAATCCACAATCCCTTAACTTGCTGGCAAGAATATTGTGGGAGACTGTATCAAAAGCCTTGCTAAAGTCAAGGTATATCACATCCACTGACTTACCCACATCCACAGAGCCAGTTACCTCATCATAGAAGCTAATCAGATTGGTCAGGCATGACTTGCCCTTTGTGAATCCATGCTGACTGTTCCTAATCACTTTCCTTTCTTCCAAGTGCCTCAAAATAGATTCTTTAAGGATCCCTTCCATGATTTTTCCAGGAACCAAGGTAAGACTGACCACCAAGGGCTGTCCATCTTCATCCCATCTTGCATCACTTAGTGCGTTAGTCCGGGAGCCGATCTTGTCCGTGAAGACAGAGGCAAAGAAAGCATTAAGTATTTCAGCTTTCCCCACATCACCTGTCACTAGGTTACCTCCTTCATCCAGTAGGGGCCCCACACCCTCTCTGATCACCTTCTCCTTGTTAACATGCCTATAGAAACCTTTCTTGTTATCCTTCACATCCTTTGCCAGTCGCAATTCCAATTGCGCTTTTGCCTTCCTGATAACACCCCTGACTTTCGAAAGAGGAACTTTCGAAAGAAGGCGTTCTTCCTCGTGAAACGAGGTTTACCGCCATCGAAAGAAAAGCCGCGTTCTTTCGAAATAATTTCGAAAGAACGCGGCTTGAGTCTGGACGCAGGGGAAGTTTTCGGGAAAAGGCTACTTTTCCCGAAAAAAACCCTGAGTGTGGACACGGCCTAGGTTACCTCCTTCATTCAGAAGGAGCCGCACACCCTCTCTGATCACCTTCTTCTTGTTAACATGCCTGTAGAAACCTTTCTAGTTATCCTTCACAACCTTTGCCAGTCGCAATTCCAGTTGAGCTTTCGCCTGCCTGATAACCCCCCGGCATTCTCAAGATACACATTTAAACCCCTCCCTGGGCATTTGTCCAAGTTTCCACTTTTTATGCTTACGTTCACCAAGGATTTCCCCCGTAAGCCAATCTGGTCTCCTACCATGTTTTCTTCTCTTGCTACGCATCGGGATGGTTTATTTTTGCTTCTTCAATAAGGCTTCTTTAAAATACTGCCAACTGTCATGGATTCCTTTCCCCTTCATGTTAACATCCCAGAGGATTCTGCCCATCAGGTATCTGAGGGAGTCAAAATCTGCTTTTCTGAAGTCCAAGATGTGTATTCTACTACTCTGTTTTCTTCCTTTGGTCATGATCCTGAAATCTACCATCTCATGATCACTGCTTCCCAAGTTGTCACCCACCTCTGCTTCCCCTATTAATTCCTCCCTGTTTGTGAGCAGATCAACTGCGTATGGCCCCTGGTCGGATCCTTTAGCACTTGTGTCAAGAAGTTATCCCCAACATTCTCCAAAAACTTCCTGGATTGCCTGTGTACTACTGTATTGGTTTCCCAACAGATGTCCTGGTTATTAAAGTCCCCCACGAGAACCAGGGCCTGCAATCTGGAAGCTTTTCTCAGTTGTCCGAAGAAAGCCTCATCTACCTCATCCACCTGATTTGGTGGCCTGTAGTAGACACCAACCACAACATCACTGCTGTTGTTTGCTCCTTTAAACTTAACCCATAGACTCTCAGCAGGCTTTTCTCCCTCTATATCCTGGAGCTCCAAGCAATCATACTGTTCTCTTACATACAATGCAACTCTTCCTGAACAGTCTATACCCTTCCATGAGAGTGCTCCAATCATGCAAGTCATCCCACCAAGTCTCTATTATCCCAATTAAATCATATTTCTTGGACTGGGCGAGGGCCTCCAGTTCTCCCTGTTTGTTGCCCAGGCTTCCCACATTAGTGTACAAACATCTCAGATAACCAGTTGATCGTCGTATCTTCCTCATTCGAATCAAGGATCCTCCTTTCTTGGTCATTCCTCTTTGCATTTCTTCCTAGTATCCAACTTTCCCACTCCCCTCAGAGTTTTTGTCACCATCCCCCCAACGAACCTAGTTTAAAGCCCTCCTCAGTAGGTTTGGAAGCCTGCCCGCGAAGATGCTCCTTCCTCTCTTCGTTAGGTGGATCCCATCTCTTCCTAACAATCCTTGTGCCTGGAACAGAGTCCCATGGTCGAAGAAACCGAAGCCCTTTCTACGACACCACCTGTGTAACCACGCATTTACTTCCTCAATTCGACGATCCCTGCCCAGTCCTTTCCCTTTAACAGGGAGGATGGATGAAAACACCACTTGTGCTCCGAATTCTTGGATCCTTCTTCCCAGTGCTACATAATCTGCAGTAACCTGATCATGGTCATTCTTGGCCATATCGTTAGTTCCCACGTAGAGAAGCAGGAAGGGGTAGTGAGCCGAAGATTTGATCAGTTTGGTAAGCCTCTCAGTCACATCCTGAATTCGAACTCCCGGTAAGCAGCACACCTCTCGAGATTCCAGGTCCGAACGGCAGATGGGTGGCTCAGTCCCTCTTAGGAGGGAGTCCCCGACCACCACTACCCATTGTCTTCTTTTGAGGGTGGTAGTCGTGGAACACCCATCCCTAGTATACACATCCCATGCCTTCCAGTAAATGGTGTTCCCTTGCAGTTTCTTCCTTGTGAGGTCTCTTCCAAAGCATTCACCACTACAGAGCCTGTGGAGAGAGCGTGAAAGCGATTTACTTATCTCTATAGGATTGGGGGATTCCCGTGCTGGCCTTTTTTCCCTTCTAGAAGTTACATGCTGCCAGTTGTCTTCCTGGTCCCGTACTGCCCTCTCTGGCTCTTCTGCCTGCCGTGCTTACAGGATAAAACACTGCCTTCTATCGAGAAAGTCTTCATCCTCTGTGATGGAGCACAGGGTTGACACTTGGACCTCCAGGCCTCTAATTTTTTCTTCCAAAATGGTGACCAGCTTGCACTTAGTGCAGATGAAATCCATTCTTTCTTCCAGGAGGAAGACAAACATGGCACACGCTGTGCAGGTAACAACAGCAAACCTATCACCATTCATCCCTGCTGTCCTGAAGAAAGGATTTTAAAAGAAAGGCAAGAGAACTTCACGCCCTTCCCAACTCCCTCTCTAAACTCCCTGTTAGCACTCACCTGTTCACAAGTTCCTTGATCGCTTGCTCACTGCTTTATAAAGCTTTGGACTTCCTGACAGTCCCCCCCCCCAAACACACACACACCAAGGCTCAGCCAATCAGCAGAGGCTTCTAGAATTCAAACTTTAATTAGAAGCCAACAGTTTCCACCTGTCACTCACAGCACACACTCCATGAAGGAGAGAGAGGTGGGGAGAAAAAGCCTCACTCACAAACACAGGGGGAAAAAAACAAACAAAAACCACACACTAACCCTCACTCACAAACATAAGCTCAGCACACAGTAAGAGAGCCCCAGTAACAACACGCACTTCCCTCAAGAGTCCTGTATCTGCTTCTCCTTTACCTGGAAAACTCCCTCTCTAAACTCCCTGTTACCACTCACCTGATGCATTCTCTAGTTTGTTAATGTTTTAGATAAGTCTTGAAACACGGGAAAAGTTCCAGAAAACTGGGATGCTAATATTGTGTAAATATTTAAAAAGGGTAAATTAGGCAACAGATCAGTCATCCTGACAAAGATTATAGGCCAAATAATGGAACAGCTGATATCAACTTGATTAATTAAAGGAAGGTATTATAATCAATGCCAATAAACATGGGTTTCTGGGAAATAGAGCCTGTCAGCTTAGTCTGATACCTTTTTTATTATGGGATTACAAGTTTGGCTGATAAAGGTACAAAAGTAGATATACTATTATCACAGGTTCCTTTGAGTAAAGATAACATCTCATTAAGTAAACTCACCTTCATTTTTCAGCAATAAATTAATGTTTAAATCAAGATAGCTACTTTGGCTTCCAATTCCCTAGCATTCCTTTGCTAAACCAACCAAAAGGTATTTCCAAGTTAGGCCTCTGACCAGGCCAGGCTGTTTGAGTTAAAACGGGAAATCATTCCTCCGCTGTCACAGCTTCACCTAACCCTGGAAGAAGCAGCAAATCTTTATTATCTTGCCTACTTGAGGCTGATTAGTTTATTAGTCCTTTTAGCTACTGGAAGATAAATTATTTCTGGCTCTGCCTGCAGATGATTCTTGGTGACCTTTCTAGATAGCTCTTGGAAGATTAAACTGCCTTTTTTCTCCCACAGGACACCTTCTTCAGGCAGGGAATGCCTAGGCAGCAGGACCTCCAGTAGGGAGCAGCAAATGCCTAGTACACTTTATTATAAATATATTTTGACTTCTGTAAGGTTGGTATCACATGACATTTTGATAAAGAAACTGGAATTATTACAAAATCAATTGAACATATTGAATGGCTTAAAAATCGGCTAAATGTAAATCTTAAGATGGAACTTATAATGGGGAATCATCACTGAATAGCTGTGTTTCTAGCAAGCGACATCATGGGAATCAGTTATTGGCCCTACGCAATTTAATGCTTTTATCAATGACCTAATCAAACATGAAATCAATTCCAATAAAGTTTGCAGATGACCTATTCTGGGAGGGGTTCTGCTATACCCCCATATGTTTCAGATCATCGGGGGACAGGAACCAACAACTCTGGAAGAACTGCTGGGAGTGGCAGCACAAAGTTTGGTGGCACTGAATGGTTGTTCAGCCAAAGCCGAGGTGGACTTCTGGATACACTGCCTTCGCATTGGACTCTGTCCAACCCTCTGGCAGTAATTTCAGGGAGAAGGTGTGATGGACCCAGATCTACATAGTGAGGTTTGCAGTTAGATTTATGTACTGAGAAATCGAGAAATCACTGATGTTTCATGCAAGTGTCTCCAAAGCTTGGATTTAACTGGATCATATCAACTGAGGGAGAAGAAACAGATGTATCTCCAGAACTGGAAAAAAACAAGGCAGGACAAGAGTGCAGTTCAGGAAGAAATGATGTGTGATGCATATGGCATCTGATTTCAATACGATGACTTTTTCCCCCTTTGAAAATGTATCTGGAGTATGCCGTTTGTTTTAATGTCCATGGATTACTTGATTATTAAATTAAATGTGACCTCTGTGTTCCTATTGACTTGGGAAAGAATTGCTGCTTTTGTAACATTATAAATGATATAGTTGAGTAGATTTACAATCCATTTATTCAGATAATTCTTATTATTTTCAAATATTATTCCAATAGATCTGGCACCTCACAATATCCTTATGGAGGGTGTTACCCTCAACTGTTAAATTTTGCCTTTTGTCTTTCAGCCTGAGCAGTGGCTGGTAGGGAGGGGCCTCAATCCTTTAACAAAAAGAATAGGAGAGCAGAGGCGCCTGGGTCTTTTGGCTGGGCTGCACCTGAAGGAAGGAGCCTGAGACCCCTGGCAGGGGGAAAGCAGCCCTGGTTCGGAGGGGAAGCTGGAAAAGAGGTTCTAGGGTGAGTTTGATTAAGTTTGTACTGAGGTTTCAGAGTAGAATTAGCCAAGCGTTTTTTTTTTGTTTTGATTTGTAACCTACTTTGCTCTGCCTGTTTTCACTTATTACTGCTTAAATCCTATTGCTTAATAAAACTTAGAAAATAAAAATGGTTTTATCATCAAACCCAGTGTAAGTGATTGTTATCTGGACTGCCCTTCTCATTGTTAAAGGTGGCTTACCCTTATCTTATTCTTTGGGGTCTGATCCCATCTGGGGAGTGGTATCTCAGGAAGTGGGGCCCTAAACTGCACTCTCCTCGGACCTGAAGATCTTCAGTGTCTGTGCTGCTTCTTGGTGGGCGCAGGGATCTTAACTTGGGGCCTTGGCTGGGGGAGACCAGTGGAGCTGGCCCAGCAGGACGGGGCAGTGAGGAGCCCCAGAGAGCAGGAAGGTGAGTGGCAGTGGCCAAGTCAGCACCCCGAGAGGCACCCCTGAGGGGTCATCTGTGACCTCACCCCGTCACAACCCAAAGATTGGGAGAGTGGCGAATAATAGAGGACAGGGCAATCTGGATCACTTAGTAAACCAGGCACAAGAAAATAAAATGTGATTTAATACTTCCAAAAGTAAAGTCATAAATCTATGAACAATGAATGCAGGTCATATACACAGGACAGAACACTCTATCCTGGTGATTCTGAAAAAGACTTGGGTATTCCTAGTGGATAATCAGTTAAACATAAGCCCCGAAGGGTGCTGTGGTCCAAAGGGCTAATGCTATGCTTGGATTCATAATCTGGGGAATTTTAAATAGGAGTAGGAGGCTATATTACCTCTGTATTTGGTTCTTATGCAACCACTACTGGTGTGATCCTGTGTCCAGATCTGATGTCTGCAGTTCAAGAAGAATGTTGAAAAATCAGAGCTGTTCAGAGAATAGTCACGAGAATGATTAAAGAATTGGAAAGCATGCCATACAATGAGACTCAAGGAGGTCAATCGGTTTAGCTTAACGAAGAGAAGGTTAAAGGGTGACAACTGCAGTTTATAAGTATCTACATAGAGGAACAGAAATTTGATAAGACAGCTTAGCAGTCTGTCAGACAAAGATATAACAAGATTCAATGGCAGGATTCCAGTGTAATGGCTGGAAGTTGAAGCTAAGCAATGTCAGAGTAGAAATAATGTGCAGTTCTTTAAACAGTGAGGATACTTAACCATAATTTATATTTCAACAACTTTGCAAGGGTTATTGTGGTTTCCTCATCACCGGAAATTTTAAAAGACATGGTCTAGTTCAGACAACAATCTAGTTCAGACAACAAGGTTGTTCTCTTTTGCTACATAGAACATTAGGCAATAAGTTCAAACTACAGCATACAAGATTTAGAGTAAATCACAGAAAAAACTTTCTAACTGTAAGAATTAGAAAGGACAATGGACCAGCCTGCCTCAAGAAGGCACTGGAAGTTTTGAAAAGAAAACTGCATAGCCATCTTCTTGAATGGTTTAGATACAACAGATTCTGAATTTTGGCAGGGGGTTAGACTAGGTGACCCTTGTGGTTCCTTCTAACTCCACGACTAATCCAAGGCAGTCCTTAATCCTATGTCATGAAGAAGGTCAGACTGTATTCAACTATTGGTTGGGACCCCCAAGTGTATTGTGAACCCATTTTATTGTGGTCACCAGGGCTGTCTTAGACTTGCTTTGGCCTTTGGTAATAGCCCCTGCCCTGGGGCTGAAGCCCTTAGATGTTGATTTTGCCTTCTCTCCCACCGCCCCCCCAACCAAGGCAGGGTGAGGGCTCTGGATTTGGATTTGGCCTCCTCATCTGGGACAGCAGGTTTCGGGTGGGCTCAGGCATTGCCAGAGTTATACACTAATTTTTGTTGTTAGAAGGTGGTTGCAGCGTAATGAAATTTGAAAACCCCTGGACTAGATTATCATAATGTTCCCTTCTGATCTAATAATCTATACAATTATGAATGTCTGCCTGCTGGTCAGTCATCTAACAGTGTCCTCCAAATATCTGAGCTCTATTTTTTTAAAAAAATTCAAAGCCCTTCTAATGGGCATTCGGCTATAATGGCAATATTCATTGTGCCCCAGCCATCTAACCCAGTTCCATTCTGGCAGGAATGTGCAAGTATGTGTACAGAAGTTTTTAAAGGAAGAAAGGATAGAGGTTTTGGTTTAACAGAAAAAAGCATCTTTTGGTGCTGTAGCTAAGTTGTGGTAGATACGGAGATTAGGGATGTTAAATTTAGTTTAATCAACTAATTAACTAGTCGATGGATTTTCCATTGACTAATTGATTAGTCTATAAGTGGGAAAGCTGCAGCAGGGTTAGCTCCCGGCCTGGGAACTAACTCTGCTGTGGGTCTCCCTTTTAAACGTATTAAGAATCTGTTGGCTCTTAATACATTTAAAAGGCTAAAGCGCAGCAGAAGGGACCCAGCATGAGCCTGGGACAGCTGATTCCTGGCTCTCACAGGCTCCCTGCCACCCCGCTCTTAATACATCTCAATAGGCTCAGTAGGCTCTTAATACATTTAAAAGGCTAGTGCGCAGCGGGGGGGAGGGACCCAGCATGAGCTGGGAATCAGCTGTCCCACTCATACTGCCCCCCCCATTGCGCTTCAGATTTTTAAATGTGTTAAGAGCCAGAAGGATATTAGTACATTTAAAAAGCAGAGGCAGCATCTAGGACTGGGTGCAAGCCAAGAATCAGCTTATT